TCCGTGATGCACAAGCCCTTGCATCGTCGGCTTTGACAGACCCCTTGTAGCTCTGATACGCCGACCACATGAAGTGTGAAGTTCAACGCCTCCATAACCGAAGCTATTCGACTCTTCGGAGCCTTGTCCCTCTCAAGAACTTTCAGGAATTGATAAACCTCCTCCTCCGCGCAGGGGAAGAACGAGTCCCTCTCTTTAAGAAAATCCTGCAACAAGATGAGGGCCCTGGCTCGCTTCAGAATGGTCGAGGGAGCCTTTCCCTTGAGAATGTCTCCTATCACCTCCAGCTGATCACATCTGCTCGTGCAAGCCTCTACATGGGAAGTGAGCACACAAGGTCCCCACTTCAACACCAGCTCAAGCCAGGTTTGCAGTCCGATCTCAAGCTGGGCACTCCTCTGCTGCTTCCAGTCCACGGCTGCTCTAGACTTGACCACCCGGGAGTAGGAAACATCCTTGTGCACAACCTTCAGACGTTTGGATGGCATTTCCACGACCTCAGACGACTGGCTTCCTTCCCCTGGCAAAAACGTAGGGCCCAGTTTTGCGACAGGAAAATCTAAGAAGTCTTTATCCCCAAAGATGACCCCGAACACCCCCTCGTCCCATGGCTGAGCGAAGCCTTCGGGCTCAGCCGTGGCCAAAGGAACCTGGTAAGCACTCCTAAGCGCAGATGCAAAATCAACCCTGCGGCCAGCGAGAGGATCAGGCAGAGGCATGGAAGCTGATGCAGGGCTCTGGTCCCTCACCTGGTCCCACCAATGCGACTCGGAATCAAGTAGGTCTGCTAAGGGATTATCTTCAGACTCCAGATCATTAGGGGCGGGAGAGGGCGCACCACCTAAACCCCAAGGGGTTGTGACCTCGCCCCTGAAAGCTGAAGCAGCCGCCTCAAGCGGCTCCAAGTGAACACTCCTAGCATCATCTTCTAAGGGCGGCTCGCCTGGAGGCACTCCAGAAGATCGACCCAAACTTCTCCTGTCAAAATGAGACTCCATCGAAGGGGACCTCACCGATGCATTCATGTGAACCTCACCAGGATCTGAAGCCTCAGCTGCCTCACCTCCCTCATGAAGATCTGAGGCTGACAGCGCGGGCTGCGGCGGAAACTGCACTGGCACATCTAGTGGATAAGGCACCGTAGAGGGGCTGCTGCGGGATTGCAAGCGCAGCTGCCTTTGTTCCATATGAAAAGCAGCCATGGTTGCCTATGTCTCCTCGAGAGACTGCCAGCGAGTTTCTGGGAACCGTTGCGACAAAGCCTGCACCAAGAATTGAAAGCAACCCTCAAAATGCAACAGCCGGTGACGCAGCAAGTCAAAAGTTTGCGATGGATTTTGCTGACGAGGCTGAAAGGCTGAGGCAGCTCTACGCTCGGCTTCAAGGAGAGGCTGAAGCTGAGCCTGCAGGGCAGTGGTCTGAGCCTCCAAGTGAGAGACTCGAGCCTGCAGCTCTGCAACCTGAGACACCAAGGCTCGGGGCGACACTTCCATCTGGACCCCCCTCTCAGGGGGGGGACCGTGCAGTCACTAAAGCCTTGC